GTTTTGGATAAATCTAACGGGACAGGCGACACAGGGCTCAAAGCTGGGACTGTCCCGGGTAAATAGGGACGTCTGGTCACCAAACCTCCACCACCTCCAAAACTACACAATGCACCTTTAAATTGCCCTTTTTACACGGTTCCCAGGGTCATGGAAATCCTGGAAAAGTCGTGGAAACTGAAAATGTCATTCTCCAGGGCTGGAATAGTCATGGAATTTTGTAAATTCAATTAAAGTTTTGGGAAAGTCGTGGAATTTTAGTATCTCTTTCACGCAACTGCAACGTTCTGTTGAGTTCTCATTCGGCTATTATGATTATTTCTGAATGTACCTTTTTTTTTTTTGTTGTTGTTATAAAAAGAGATGACAATAAATGCACTGACAGTATTTTAATCTGTGTATCATTCATTCATTTGTTTTTTAATATAAAACCAAAAATAAGAAAAAAAACAAAAACAAGTGTTTCCTTCATTATTTATCTCCAAAACCAAAATGAAAAAACAGATAACGATTCGAGACTGAGACCAGATCAGCACCAGGCCCGGACCAGACCGGGACTGAGACTGAGACCAGACTAGGACCACAAAGGGACCAGACCGGGACTGAGAACGAGACCAGGCCGGGACCAGGCCGGGACCAGACCAAGACTGAGACCAGGAGTGAGACTGAGACCAGGCCGGGACCAGACCGGAGGTTCAGAGCCCATGGCAGGGCCAGAGCTTGAAGTTGAGGCTCAGAGTCAAACCTCGGAGTCTGCTCTGGTCCCCCTCTGGTCACGCTCCGGTCCCGCTCTGGTCCCGGTGTGGTCCCAGACCTGGATCAGTCCTAGTTCAGTCCGTATGCAGTGCAAAAGTTCAGCATCGCAGTCACAGAAGTCACGTAAACGGGAAACGGCCGTTATCTGTTTTTTCCATTCTTCATTTAAACACAAAATCGAAAACTGAAAAAACTAATTTTGGTTGTGGAGACAAATAATGAAGAAAACAGTTGTTATTTTGTTTTCTTATTTTTGGTTTTATACTGAAAAACGAAAGAACGAATGATACATGGATTGTATTTTGAATGTTAAAAAACTATAATCCCAAACCATAAGGTGAGTGGAAAGGGTGAACATTTCATCTTTAGTCCTAAAACTGTGATCAGTTCTACACATGTAGGTGCTTTCATGAAAAAGTCATGGAAAAGTGCTGAAATTTTACCAGTGAAAAAGAGTGGGAACCCTGATTTTACACGTTTACTTTCATCTGGTTGAACTTTTAGCTCTCAAAATCAAACCCGCAACCACAAAAACCAAACCCAACCAACAAACCACATCACCCATTCAAAGCATCGCTCAGAACACGCCCTGTGCTAATTTTTGTATCTCCGCCGCTCGCCAAAGACCGAGCTCGCCGCGCTATGATTGAGATGAGTTACGAGATCGCCCAGCCTCCTGCCAGAGCATCACTCAGCGGAGCCATTAGCCCATCAGCAGGTACAAGCTAAATGTGCGACTGCGGGTTAGCGCGGGGGTCACGAGTGATCATAACAGCCCCAATGTGCTCATCCTTCATCGGGGAGAGAGCGCGCGCCGACGGGGTACGAAGCTCCAGATTTATCGCACATAAGGTAATAATAGCACTGACGATGTTAAAATACCGTGAGGAGTAAGTCGCCATTAGCCGCGAGCTGGCTAAATGCACGGATGAGTAATATTGGTTCAACAAGTGAGTTCAGGAGTCTGTGTGCGATGAGAGTGTGGAAGAAGTACTCCATTTTGTTACTTAAAGGTGCACTGTGTAACTTTTTGTTTGGGTGACCAGTTTGTCAAAGCCTGATCCCGTCAGACCTCAGAATCTAAGCAAGGCCTGGTTTGTACTTGGATGGGAAACGACTGGGAAAATGAGGTGCCACAGGGGGGCGCCAGACACAAAAACTGCCATTGTGTCCTTAGGCAAGACACTTCACCCACATTGCCTCGTATGAAAGTGGTGTGTGTGTGCGTGAGCGTTGGTGGTGGTCGGAGGGGGTGATGGCGCGGATTGGCAGTCACGCTTCCATTAGTCGACCCCGGACATGTCAAACTCAGGCCCAGGGGCAAAATTCGGCCCACGATATAATTATATTTGGCCCGCAAGATCATATCAAACATGTTTAACACTTTATAATAACTACACCTTATTTAGGCTTAACAAAGCATGAACAAAGACTTAATTAATAATGATTCACACTTAGTAACAACTTACTTACTACCTTAATTAGCACTTAACTCGCCTGTGCTGTAAATAGCTACTCATAATTATTTCATACTTAATTACTCATGAACTAACCATTTGTGTACAAATTTGGGCATTTATTAATGATTAGTAAGCTATGAGAGAATGATTTACTAATAATACAATGCAATGATAATTCAGGCAGCTGTTATCTGTTAGTTAAGTCGTTTTAAAAGCTTTTTTAAAGTGAAGACTAAATGGTTAGTTCATGAGTAATTAAGTATGAAATAATTCTGAGTCACTATTTACAACACAGGCAAATTAAGTGCAAGTTAAGTGCTAATTAAGGTAGTAATTAAGTAGTTACTAAGAGTGAATCATTATAAATTAAGTCTTTGTTCATGCTTAAATAAGGTGTAGTTATTATAAAGTGTTACCCAAATATTTATTAAAACTGGCTACAGAGAGCAGGGGTCTCCAAACTTTTCCCCCATGTGAGCTACTTTTACAAAATGAAAATCCCAGTGAGCTACTTATTTTAGCAATGAAGAAAATAAAGTATATGTAAGAGCCATGGCAGGACTTAGATGAGGTACAGTTGGATAAAACGTAAAACATAAACCATTATTTATTTATGAGTGCACAAAGTCAGACATCAACATGATGAACAGGCATTTAATTCATCACATTTGAGTTATTCAGGACAATATGTGTAATTCAGAAATCCCTTGGTGAGATACTTGGAAGGGAGCTCCTGAACTACAGGTTGCAGACCCCTTCTATAGAGACATTATTTATTTAAAATGTTGTTATTATTTTATATAATGCTTGAAAAGGTTTAACATTACATATCTTGAAAGAAGAGAAAACAAGTAGATGTTGTTGAAATTTTACAATAAATATTTAGTTTGGCCCACGACTTAGACCCAGTTTTTAATTTTGGCCTCTGTGAATTTGAGTTTGATGCCCCTCGTCTACCCCATGGCAGCTGTGGCTACAACAGTATTTTACCACCACCGGGTGTGGAGTAAATGAATAATGCTCTGTAAAGATTTATATAAAACTTAAAAAAGCTCTCACTGCAAAAAAAAACTAAATCTAGTCAAGTTAAGAAGAACTGAATTAAGAAAGTTTTTTATCATAATTTGATTAAATTTCACTTGACAAGTAAAATGATCTGCCAGTGGAACAAGACTTTTTGTACTTAAAATATGAAAATAAGAGAAACAACAACTTTTTGCAACTAAATCTAGGTAGAAAAATGTACTTGTCAAGTTGAATCTACCCAAATAAAGTCAAATGTTCTTTAATTTTCATTTTAACTTACCTAGATGTTGTTTTTTCCAGTGCTGCCTCATATTTATTCAATTACAGGTGGTTTTATAGTTCAAAAATACATAAACGGGCATTCTTACTGTGAGCAAGGTCGCCTCTCCACTGATCTGACCTGTAACTCTAGTTTGGTCTCCACGAGGATAGAAAGGTTTAATGCCACACTGTGAAACATTCCAGACAAAGCAACAACATCTCCATGGAGAAAAGCATTTGACGGACCTTCCACCAGAAAAGTTACATAAAAGTACAGATCCCACAGCATAAAAACACTCAAGTAAAAGTAAAAGTATCACATGAAAAAAACTACTTATTACTTCTGTTCCTCCTCTATTAAAGTACCGGTTTAGAAATGTACTTAAAGAGAAAAAAGTAAAAGTATTTCACACAGATTTTGAGGTCTTATAAAGCTTCCAATGTGGCGATGTTTTTAAAGATCTATACAGAATTTATTTTATTCACTAGAAACAATTGAATCGATGCTTTTTAATTATTTTTTTTTACTCAAAATTATGAATGTGGTAAAAATAAACCCTCAGCTTTTTCTGTCTCTATAAACATAAATAGATATGTAGATATACAGTAGATATATAGATACTTTCTCTCAAATGTTACTGAAGTAAAAGTAAAAATCAGTCAAGAACAGATACTTAAAAACTGCATTTAAGTACAGTACTTTACTTTACTACTTGTACTTCGTTAGGGCTATAAAAGGGATGAAACATTTTGGATTTCACACCAATTCTTGATCAAAGTTTTGCATCAGATTCCAACAGATTTATTTCTTTTTTAATTTGAGAGGAGAACAGCATGTACTGAATTAACTCTTGATCAGTTTTCAAGTCACGCCTGTTAAAGCTGCCTTACCCAATTCTCAAGGAGGAAATTTAAATTAAAATCCAGCTTCCTTCGTCTACCAAACCCTTCGGCACATCGTTAGTATTTACATGAATTTTTTGGCAATTTCACAGCTTCAGAGTGTTGTGCAAAAAGTTCAGTTGCTCCAGTAAAAGACGTAATATGAAAGCAGCTCTTCAGATCAACACGAGACAGCCGAGCACGGTCTGCATTTCAGTCTGAGAGTCAGGAAGTGCACCGTTAGCATAGCCGAATTTCCCTTGGGATCATGCAAAGTGGAAAGCATTTATGAAGAATGAGGAATAACTTTAAACTGCCGTATCTCTCCGGTCCCAGATGTGATCACGACGCCATAACCCGCCTTGGTCATTTCACCCGTCGGCGATCGTAATGTTATGGTTGATTTCTCGCGGTATTGAGGCAGGGGTCAAATGCACACAGAACATTTAACTGCAGGGACAATAAAGTGCACCATAACCTCTCCTCAGTCACTGGTGCAATCAAAATGCCATAACTGACCTGTCTGGCAATTTTTTTCTGGTAAAAAATAGTGTAACGCTACTGAAAATTTGGTTCCTTTTTCAATTCGGCACGTTGTTACTTTTTTGTGTACACAGTTGGGCCGCACCATAGACAGTCCGCCTCGGTCGACAGTCGCGCCGGGAGAGGGCACAGCAGGCATTGATCCCACAGCCCCGGGAAGCGGTGAGGTACAGGTGGGAGGAGCTGTAAAGCATAAAGCCGGAAAGTCGTGCCACCTTCACCTCGAGCCTTTCCAGAGCCTCGGAGGAAGTGCACTCGGCAGGAGCCAGCAACACCCGGGGAGAGGTCCCTCGAGGGGATCCTCCCGCACTGTTGATCACCCGGGCAGACTGCATGGACCCCACCCTTTTACCTCCTAATGGTTTCATGTCCTCTCGAACTCTCTCTTCAAAGTTATTTTCAGCTTTCCCTTACAGTTCTTTTTTGACTATCTGTCTCGTGCCGTATTTAGCCTTCAATGGAGTTTACCACCAAAAAGTCAAAGTAACATGGCAAAGAAGAATTTCAATTTGTCAACTGGACAAAAGTTTATTTGGTCAAATATGTTTTGCAGCTCATCCAAGCTGCTTCTTCAGTTCTTCTTCAGAACCAATTCTCCTTTGCCATTTATCCTACCTGAACGACTGAGGGATTTTTCACATACCAAAGTAACAAACAACATAAATAGTTACTTTCCATACAGGGTAACTAAGTAAAGAAGTAGAGAAGTAATGAGTAACGAGCAAACACTACTTTTTTAAAGTAACTTCCCCAACACTGAGTATGGGTCAAATGTACAAGAAACATTTAACTACAGAGACAATAAAGTGTATGTTAACCTTTTATTTCCCCAGCACCAGGGGTGATCTAGAAGCTATAATCTACCTTGGTCATTGCACCTGTCAGTGGTCATTTCACCTGTCAGTCACTGTAGCATTATTTGGATTCCTAGTGGTATTAAGGTGTGGGTCAAATGCACAAGAAACATTTAAATACAAGGACAATAACATATACCGTAACTCTGTATCGCTGTATCTGAGCGCCAGGTGCGATCAAACTATATTCTTGGTTGGTCACTGCACCTGTCAGTGGTCATTTCACCTGTCAGCTGTCCTAATGTTATGTTTGATTCCTAGTGGCATTAAGGTGTGGGTCAAATGCACAAGAAACATTTAAATACAGGGACAATAACATACACATTCAACTCTGTATCACTATATCCGAGTGCCAGGTGCGACCAAGCTATAGTCTTCCTTGGTCACTGCACCTGTCAGTGGTCATTTCACCTGTCAGTTGTCACAGTGTTTTGTTTGATTCCTAGTGGCATTGGAGTCTGGGTCAAATGCAGCTGAAATATTTACCTACAGAGAAAATAAGGTGTACTTTAACTTTAATCTCTCCAGCCTCAGGCGCGATCGAAACCATGATCCACCTTGGTCACTGCACCTGTCAGTGGTCATTTCACCTGTCAGTCGCTGTAAGGTTTTGTTTGATTCCTAGCAGTATTGAGGTGTGGGTCAAATACACAAGAAACATTTAAATACAGAGACAGTGACATACACCTTAACTCTATATCTCCAGGTGCGATCGAGCTATATTCTTGCTTGGTCACTGCACCTGTCAGGGTCATTTCACCTGTCAGTCTTCCTAATGTTATGGTTGACTCCTCTTTATGACCAGATCCAGTCCAACAGCTGGTCCCCGTCTGCTCCACACTCGGACAGGCCGCAGAATGCCCTTCACTTGGCAGCGGACGGACGGCGAAAAAAATCACCATTCCGCCTGAACGCCAGCATCTCCCGCAGACCCGCCACACTCCGATGCAAACGCTAAATCCAGCCTTCTTTTCACGCCAACGTCCTGCCTTTGAACGATAAACCCCGGAGAGCCTCAGGTGGACGGTGGACAAAAGCGTTATGGTCATCTGGTCGCCGAAGATTGCGTCAAAGGAGCTGTAAAGAGTCGTCGTCTATAGGAACATTCGCCGTTTTTAGAAATAAATACAGTAGTTGACAAAGTACGAAGAAGGGGACGCTTTTTTACGATCAACAAAAATTTTATCTTAATGGACCTGTACCAAACTTTATTACTAGTAGTTTAATGCCGTTTAATGGAGTGGTGCGGTTTAATCTAAAAGCAACAATTAAATGATATTGCCCATACATTTTACAAGGACCTTTTTTGTAAACGAAACCACGATGCAGCAACTTTATCCACACAATTTTATCCAATCAGAGTTGTTGTTGAATAAGAACTACATGGAAACAACTGTCTGTAGTTTCTTTATGGCACATGTGGCAAGGCCAAGCCATTTATGTGGCCCACAAGGGGTTAAAAGTTATAATTTATTATTATGTTGTGACTCTGTGCCGATACTACATCTCCCACAATGCACCGCAGTTGTTTCCCATGAAGTGACTGCATCTCGCCACAAGAGAGGCCGAGAAAACTCATCAAATTTCCCCAAAAATGTCCAAGAAAAGAAAAATTTGCTATTTCATGAATGTTACTGAAGGAGTAATGTGAATGTTTTAACTTAAACCTTTAAATCAAATCCAATCCACTTTATTTCTACAGCACATTTCATAAATAAATGAGTTTCCTAAGTGCTGCACAATACAGATAAAACATATCCAATAGAAATATAAAGTAAAGCTCTACTTAACTCTTCTAGTCCTCATCAAGACAATAAAACCAGTCAAATCAAATAAGAGCTAGAATACCAGTAAATAATAAAAAGGTAAAAAATAAATCAAATACAGACTTTTACAGTTTTGTCACATACCGATATTACAGTTACAGTTACAGTCTTAACTTTACAACCGGCTCTTTGATGTCAAACATGATCCAAATGTGGCCCTTGGTGAACATGAGTTTGACACCCCCGCTTTATGGTCTCTGCACCGTTCGTTCTTTTCTATTTCAATTAAGAACGAAAAACAATAACATGGGAAAACATTTTGTTATTTCATTATTACGTTTTAGTGTCGAACAAAAAAGGGGAGTGTGCCTATGTTCCCTCAGACTTATGTTCCCTCATTTCTAAGGTTTTTAAATTAGGCCCTATGTTTCCACATTTCCTTTATCATCAATTTGCATCAGATTTTATCCCAGTTTCTAACAATTTGGTCATCAGTTACACCCAACATATTCTCCAGCAGCAGTTGAATACAGATGTAATGTAGAGGCCATGGTGCAAAGGATCCTGTGTTGAAATGACTCTGAATCATATGGTATAAAAATAAAAATGACTTCACTAAGAGTTTCATTTTGAGAAAAATCTTAGAAATAAAAAAAAAAAATCTTAGAAATAAGGGAACATAGGGTTGACCTCAACAACGAAACAGATTTCTACCTCTTTTTCCAATATTTAATTTAAAGTTTATTTCAAATAACACCAATAAAAAAACAGTCTCGGTGCCTATTTTAATTTTGATATTTTATTCTCTCTGGTTTATATGACTCGGATGTTCTGCAAGTGATTTCAGTGTCAATTGAACAAAGTTTTATCACGTAGCTGCTTCTTGTTTCTCATCATGGAGTTCACTAATTACTTTCTAAGATGCAAAAGTAAAGGCGTCGCTATAAAAGAAGAGGACATGTTTGTACACAAAATTGCAACAATTTTTCAGGTAAATCCTTCTAGTAGCAGAACTTCCAGAGCAAATAAACCAGAGAGAATAAAATATCAAAACTGATATAGGCACTGAGACTGTTTTTTGATTGGTGTTATATGAAATGAACTTTAAATTAAATATTGGAAATAGAGGTTGAAATCAGGTTTTTGGTTTGACACTAAAATGGAATAATGAAATAAAGTGTTTTCTCATTTTATTGTTTTTCATTCTTAATTGAAATTCAACATCAGATCAGAGTGAAAAAAAGGGACTAAGTGGACATTCGGAAACATGGTCTTCACTCTTGTTTTTTTATTGACCTAAAAACTTGCTTTCTGACTGTGAGTGGGCTCGCCTCTCTACAGATCTGACATGTAACTTGGCCCATGCTGTGGGACACTCCAGGCAATATGTCCAAGGAGAGAAGAAGGTGACGACGGACTCTCCACCGAAGTTAAACAGTGCAGCTTTAAAAACAAGTTCCTACCTAAACATCCCGTATATCAGTTCCAATCCGTTTTCTGTACTCAGTATCAACAGTATATTTGCAATAACAACCCAAACTTACGGACATATCGGCTGTATTTTCACACCACGGCGAAGAAAAAAAAGTGAATTTGGAAACATCACCTCCGCTCGGTGAACCAGCAGAGCGAGCAGGCAGTGGTCCAGGACGGGGTGATCGATGGCGGGCTGAGGGCACTCGAGAAGGCCCCTCATCACTTGAAGAGCCACTGGAGCGCGCTTATCTGCCTCTGCACTCACGCCCAAGAGGAGGCGCCGTGGCAATCATCTCAAAAATCTATTTATCTACAGGTGGGATTTGTCCTCGGAGATGGCACGGACGTAAGATGAGTCGAACGCTTGGAAAATCTTCTTGTGTTGTAATAGCGGCAGAGGCGGGTGGTAAGACAAGATTGCGTTAAGAGTTATGACGACAAGGAGCGTTCGTACTTCATTAAAGCAACACTGCGTACGTTTCTGGAGGTGGCGCATCACCACGGAAACAGAAAGATGAAACTGCACTTCGAAAGAGTTGGCATAGGCTGTAAAAAGAAGTCTGACGTCACGCATAGTGTTCAGGTCCAGTCAAATGAAGCTCATGGAAGCTTAGGCTTGTATAGGAGTGAATTCACAAAACAAAGAAAATAGGGAAATAAAAACACCAGGATCATGTGGAGCAGGTTAATACGAATATTTTAAACGGTCCAGAATTTTGGACATAGGACCTCATTTCCTCGTGAGCCAGAGGGTTGGAGACGTGTGGAGACACTTTTTAAAATATTCCATCCAGTCCTTGTATTTGCAGAGGTCGCTGGTGCTAGGCTAGTGCATGTCAATGGCCATAGTTATCCTGCCACTAAAAACAGTCTTACCCACTCCACAAAACACCCAAAACAAATCTATTATTACTTCAGACTGTCGATGTAAATGTCTGTGTCTCTGTCTGCATGACGTTTCCTGGAAATTGACTAATTTTGCGATTTCAAGTAACTTTTTACAGACTTTATGGACTTTCTATGTAATTTTTTATCCAAGTTTTAGCTTGTCTTTGCAGAATAAAATGACAAATGATTCAAATACGCCTTATTTATTTGTTTCGCTGTGTTATAGTACAGTATAATTTTCAAGTGTCTTGAGCAACTTCTGAAATCCTGAATATATTGGCCAGATATGGAACCAAATGCTAGCCTGATTCATGAACCGGTTTCACTTCGTGGAAATCATCTGACCTCGCAGCATTAGGATTTGTTCACTCGACAGTAGGCGGG